TTTTTAATTTTTTTGTAGTAAAATTTACTGTTATCCATTTTTTTTTTTTTTTACAGTTTAGAGGTGTTTACATTCACATTGTTGCGCAACCAATCTCCAGAATTTTTTCATAACCATTAAATAATAACCCCCCCATTTCCCCCTACCCTAGCCCCCGGCAACCACTATTTTACTTTTTGTTACTATTCTAAATTTGACTACTCTAGAGGCTTCATAACAGTGGCTTATTTCACTTTGCATAATGTCCTCAAGGTATATCCATGTTGTACTGTGTCAGAATTTACTTCTTTTTTAAGGATGAATAATATACCATTATATGCATATGCCACATTTTTTTTATTGATTTATCCATCGATGCATATTTAGGTTGCTTCCGCCTTTTGGGTATTGTGAATAATACTTCTATGAACATCGGTAGGCAAATATTTTTCAGGACCATGCTTTAAATTCTTTTAGATATATGCCCAGAAGTGGAATGACTGGGTCATAATGTAGTTCAATTTTAACTTTTTTTGAGAAACTGCTACACAGTTTTCTTTTCTTTTTTTTTTTTTGACTGTATACTTTACTTTCAGTATTATTTTGTATTGGTTTCAGGGTTACTGCTATACAGTTTCCTATAGTAGCTGTGTATCATTTTACATTCCCACTAACAGTGTACAAGTGCTCCACTATTTCTACATCCTTGCCAACATTTGTTATTTTCTGTTTTGTTTTTTTTTTTGGTAGTAGTCGTCTTAATGGGTGGGAGGTGAACTTTACTATTTTTCATGTAAAATAATTTCAGAAAGGAAAAGTATTTTGTTCTGAGTGGGAAATCAACATAAAATTACATCATTTTGAATTTAAATAAAATGAAACTTTATGAAATTTCACCTTAAAAACGAGATTTCAGTGCTTGCTCGTGGCTGAGTTGGTTGGAGTGTCAACCAGTACACCAGAAAGGTTGTGGGTTTGACCCCCCAGTTAGGGCATGCACATACTGGAGGCACCCTATGTTTCTCTCTCACATTGATGTTTTTCTCTCTCTCTTCCTTCCTCTCTCTAAAACATTTCTTTGGGTGAGGATTTAAAAAGTGAGACTTTTCCATTGATTTTTTTTTTTTTTTAGAGAGAGTGGAAGAGAGGAGAAAAAGAGAGAGAGAGAGAGAGAGAGAGAGAGAAACTTAAACATGAGAGAGACACATTGAGTACTTGCCTCCCACTTGTGCCCGAGCAGGCTGGAGAACGAACCTGTGACCCTTTGGCCCGAGGGCTGATGCTCTAACCATTGAGAAAAACTGGCTAGGGCCCATTTGGGCTTTTGAACGAATTTATTAGTATTCATTTTTGTTCAACTAATTTGGCCATCTTTTATTAATTTGCTCATTTGAACACTCTTAGATTTCCTTGCTAGATATAGAATTATGATAGACAGAGAAAGCATCTGTTTCTGCTGTTAAAGAAATTGTTTATAACTAAATCCCACATATCCACAAACTAAATGGAAAAGTGAAGAATTTGTATGCCTATATTCATAACCCATGGACACAGACAATAGGGTGGTGAAAGCTTGGGGTGGGGGCGGGGGGCAGGCTAGAAGAGGTCAATGGGGGGAAAAGAGGGAATATCTGTAATACTTTCAACAATAAAGATTAAAAAATAAACAAATAAAAAAGTGGATATGTGAAAACTGGGGAGTAAAGGAAAACCTCTTTTTATTAAGTGAAAACATCTTTAGCTTATTCTTTCGCCCAGAGAAGTAGGCCAGCTTGCTTCTGTTTTTCTACAAAGAAAAGGGTGTGGGTTTAGTAGAATAAATTCTGATGTTTGAATGTCCATTCTTTTCATGTAGACCAGTGGTCGGCAAACTGCGGCTCGCGAGCCACATGCGGCTCTTTGGCCCCTTGAGTGTGGCCACGAAGTTTCAATCACACTGTACGTGTGCGCCCGCACATGGTATTTTGTGGAAGAGCCACACTTAAGGGGCCGCAGTTTGCTGACCACTGATGTAGACTCATGTGGACCAGCAGAGAGGGTCTTTGTCTAAAGAAGTCCTGGAGGACTATTAGTTTCTCTCTGTGTGGGCAGGCTCTTCACCCTCACCCCTAAGTTTATTTTGTCCTTTCTTTGGTTGGGAGAAAAAAATTAAAGGAGTAATATATGTATCAGGCTGTGCATGTAAAATGCAATAGAGGTTTAGAAAACCAAGACAACTGTCTCCATCCATCCCTTCTTCTTTTAATGGCGTAATGAGATGATAGGCTTCAGAAATATTCAAGCAGGGCCCGGGGAAGCTTAGACACACTGTACTTTTAGTCAAGCTCTGTCTTTGTATGTCCTCCGTGGGGTAGAAAAATTGGTTCCTTTCCTGAAGATCCCCTTTGCCAGATGTTACACATGAAATTTATGGCGATGATCTCGTCCAGGTCCATTGTTTATGCAGGAAGTTTACCCAACACACACCCGCCTCTCCCCTGTCCCCCTAACAACTGATATGACCTTTGAGTCATTAGGTTTCTGTCCTTCTGAGTAAGAGGAAAAACCCCAAATTGGAAAGTGGAGTGAAGCTGTAAACCTGAGGTCAGACTCCATCTCCACCCCTCCACCTCCATGACTAGGAGTGAATGTGTTTTTGTTTCTACCTTTGGTGTTTTTAAAGTAAAGGGTGGCAGAGGGTGCAGGTGATGGACGCTGGCAATGCCATCGTCTGAGAGGCTGGTCACAGAGACCCAGGGGGGCAGCACTGTTCAAAGAGAGAAAAATACTTGGTGTGATATGCTTGGAGTCAGTGTGTGCTATGAATTACATGAGCGTTTCATTTGAAATCTAAGTACATTCAGCATGGAGCCAGAAGTTAATAAATATACTAGCTCTTTGTTTGACTATTAGTTGTGGTTAGCTTGAAATCACATAGCAAACATAATCAGAGTGACAGAAAAGGGAAAGTATTCCTTACAACTTTTCACTTTCTGAATCTACTTTCAGTTTTTTTCTTTGGTGCATTTCAACGAGCTTCTAATGTTCAATGTAGACATTTTTGTAGCGTGGGCCTCACACTTCTTTTTCGTCTGCCTACCCCCTGTTTTATAAAGTGCAGATCTTTTGTGATGACCATGTGCTTGGGCGGCATCATCCTTTCCTTGGAATGTAAAATGGAAAGTGTTGAAATGTTCATCCGTGAACTCACCCATGAGAATCGTGGTAGACATTCACATCTTTTTTAAAAAATATATTTTATCGATTTTTTTACAGAGAGGAAGGGAGAGGGATAGAGAGCTAGAAACATCGATGAGAGAGAAACATTGATCAGCTGCCTCCTGCACACCCCCTACTGGGGATGTGCCCGCAACCCAGGTACATGCCCTTGACCGGAATGGAACCCTTCAGTCCGCAGGCCGACACTCTATCCACTGAGCCAAACTGCTTAGGGCGACATTCACACCTTAAGGGGAAATAATCATCTGACAGATGTTGCTCTGTGGGCTGAAGAAATAATGGCTTTTGTTTCCTAAAGTTTTTGGAGGAATGTTGGTATTTTTGAACCTATTTTCCATATTCCTAACTCGCCATGTAAATAAAAGCTGAGTGTGGCTCTACTGATACTTGAGCCTTGCATGGTGTTAAGGCTGTTCCTCCCAGCAAAACCGTTGTTTACCGAACACCGGAATTTTCTGATAACACACACTATCAGAAAACCCTACGGAGAACTCGATAAAATGCACAAAAGCAATGCTAAAAACTAGCATCTAGCATGGAACCTAAGGGTTTGGTTGTAGGCCTGGAAAGATACTGTTTCTTGAATACATATTTCAGTGAGCATCTATGATTGGAAGCATACGTAGATTTCCCCCTCTTTGGTAGAAAAATGGTTCTTAAGTCATAGGAGAGGTAATGTGGTATTGGTATCTGTGATTTTTCTTGGCGGATGAGCCATCAGAGCTTGGGAGTGAGAGGTGAATATCAGCACCTGGAAGTAAAGGGACCCCCTTTTAGTTGGTTACACAGCATCGTGAACCTCCCATAGACAGCAGCTTATGAAGTAAAACATCAGCATGTGTGAAGGGTGGTTTCTGAGCTTTTTTCTGAAAGCTGGAGAACTTCAATATGAGGAACTCCCAGGGCCTCATTAATTTGGTTTGCACGCCCCCCTCCATCACTCCCCCCCCTCCCCCCGCAGTGTTGTCACGGTCTGAAATGTGTAAATTATCAGTTTGTCTTTGAATGACTTCTTAGTTGCATCTTACTTGCAAAACACCCCAAACTCAAAAGTGGTTGCTGTGAAACAGCTATCTTTGTCATAGATGTTGCTCCTTCTGTTTACCCTTAGCCTTGGGCTGTGGCGGGCGAAGCCTCCTTCTCCAAAGGGAAAAAGTGGCGAAAGGAAAACCATTCCATTAGCCTCAAGCAGTTAGAAATGTGTGAGGGTCTGAGGTGCCTTGCATGTACTTCAGAACCATTTTATCTAATTTTATAATATAATTTCCCCCCAAAAGAACGTAGCCAGGGAGAATTGATAAATTATAAACAACTCAGGATTTGCTTTCTGAATTGTTAATGGGTAGAAGGCCATCTGCTTCGCCATATGGAAGTACTGTCCTCATCCATATGAAGCCAACACAGTTAGAAGCCAGAACCACGGGAGGACGCAGCCTTCGTGCTCTTCGTGGCTTTACCTTTTATGGAATTCATTCAGCCCCACCTTCCTTAGGGTTCAGAGACTCCGCTCTTATTCTAAGGGCACATCACTCAGAATATGAGCCCCTGAGAAAAGGTTGAAGTGGACGGAGTGAACCCCTTCATCACATGGTGTATAAACTAATGTAGTAAATTCAATATCCACTTAATTTAAAATAACGTCATTGTGTTTTACTTAGTGAGGCACAGCACGTGCTAAACATTTTATTTTTATTTAACGATTCCTTTGTAACCCAATAGCTAGTGTCCGTTCTTTCCTCTGAATTGGGATTTTGAAAAAGCATTTTTGTGCTTGTGCATGATGCTTGTGTGCTTGCTTTCAGACTGCAGCGACTACCTGGTGGACGACGAGTGCCTGCTGAAGCTGCTGAAGGGGTGCTGCCTGAAGAACTTGCAGCGGCCCCTGCAGGCGGAACTGTGCTTCTCTCATGTCATCCAAAGGTAAACCAAGGAGGAAACCCACTGTGGCTCCGGGAGTTCCTGTTGGAAAGCGATTTCTCTTGCTGCCCCCCTTTTACTCCGTGTTACCAGAAAAGAACCCAGGAGTGTTGTCTTTGTGCCCCGGAGACTTTGCCAGCCCAGAGCCACATCCATGTTAATTTCATGGCATCGAGGTTCTTGGCCCTTTGGGCAATGTAAACTTGAATTGCAAACTCATGTGAGGGCAGGCCTATGGGTTGTTAATTTCTCCAGGAATGTGCTTTTACTCTCCACCTGGAGCAGAGGCCCAGGAGCCGACTGCCCGTGTTTTCTTCCTGCGCCAGAGGTTTTTTTTCTAATCTTCCCCTTCTCTGATGGAGCAGCCTTTCAAGGGCCCCAGCTTGTGTAGAGGTCTCAGCCCTGCTCCCTGTCCCGTGGGCCAAGGCCTCCTCTCCTCCGTGGGCACTGAAGCACTGAGCCCCGATTGTTCAGACTGGAGTGGACCCGCACTGCTTGGGCATCCACACACACAGAGTTCTGGTTTTGTGTTGTTTTCAGTTCGAGAATTTCCCTTATGTTCGTGGGAGCTGAGCTATGCGTTTGAAAGTGTATTACTCATATATTTTTAGTGCTTGCAGATGTTTTGTCGTCAGAGAATTCTTATCATATTGCTGAAAACAGAAGTTACTGCCTTTTTTTTTTTTTTTTAGCATAAGACGTAACAAGTTGAAGTGACCCTTCATAAAAAACAATACAGCATTCTTATTTTTAAATATTTATGTTCAGGAGTATGATCTTGTCCTTTCCAGGGTTAGGCTTTGAAGATTATAGCCCATATGTGTTCCTATTCCTAAGGGGCAGTAAATAATCCAATTCAGACTAAGGAATAAAATAAGAGATTAATATAGTAAAAGCATACTATGTATTGCTGTAGTTTATTAGATTCCTTGAGTGCATTTTGTATAATGACAGCTTTTCTCTGCAAATCATGCTGCTAACCACCGGCTTTATGGGAACTGGGGAATGCTGTATATGTATGTTGGAAAAGAATGACATCCTTCCTGTTCTGTTGAGACTTAATTGCTTTCCACTCGTTCTTTTAGTGAAAAGCTGCTGAAGTTTGACCACTACCTGGTGCCATTTACTCTGTTTGAGCTGGCGTTTTTGTACAAAAGCCAAGGGGACATTGACAAGGCCTTTAAGGCCCTGGAAACTGCAAGGTGAGTGGCGACGGCAGCTCCTCTGGGGTGGCTGTGGAGTTAGGATTGTCCGTACCATGATAGCAGCAGTGATAGTACATGCACACTTAAAAGTTCAAACATGAGCGAAAGGTAGTTACAACGCTACCTTTGCTAACTTAGGCTTCGTTTATGCTCATGGCTTTTGCTGCAATTGTGCTGTTTCCAACCTTCTGAGCGCCTGGCCCTGTGACCGTTTACAGAGGTGATGGCTGTGGGCTTCTGCCTGACAGATATCTAGTCTAATCTGTTCTATATCAGAGGCCGGCAAACTGTTCCTAAAGGGCCAGATAGAAAGTATTTTTGGCTTTACAGTATGAGGTCTCCACTGCAGCTACTCAATGGTATCGAAAGCAGCCACAGAAGAGGGTATAGAAATAAGTGGGGGAGTCCAGATTTAGCCATAAACTTGATAATAATTTGCTGACCTTTTCTAATTTCCTTGAAGAAACTCTTTGAATCTCCCCCGGCTCTCTCTATTTCAAAGCACATATTATCATTTCTACTACATAATGGCTCACAGACGTGTGATCACGGTCTGTTTGTCCTGCACACTTCTTGCAGCGGGTGGAGAATGCCATGGGTAGCTCCAGGCCATAAATAGCTTAGTGGTTCGTTGGTTTGGTCATTTACTCAAATTCAGCAAATATTCACTGAGCACCTCTTATGTACCCAGCATAGTAAAGGCTCTAGAGAGACAACTGTACGTAAACCGACAATGTTCCTGCTCTCTGAGTAGGAGGGAGATATTAAATAAGCAAGTGAGAAAATAGCAGTGCTATGTGTTTTGCTGAGACTCACATTCTGATACAAAGTCCCGGGCTGTGGCTTTAGGTTGGGTTGATTCTGGAAGGTCTTCTTGAGGAGCTGATGTTGTAGTTGATATTTGCCCAAGCAGAGCCAGTCCTGAGGTCAGTCAGCAGAAGACTGCGTGGGGCACATTCCTGTCTGGAACCACAGCTACGTAACCTCCAGGCTAGGGGGTGGAACCACTAGGTCAATAATGATGATAGAGAATCATCATTTTTACTGAGATGGGGAATCCTTAGAGGGTTTGGGGAGATAAAAAAATACTTCTGTTTGGACCATGATGTTCTGAGGAGCCTACGAGGCATCCACATGGAGATGGCGAGTTGGCAGTCAACTGTAGAAGCATGGAGTTCAGTGGAAAGGTAAATGCCACATGTGGAGATTTCAAAGTCACCAGCACAGACACAGAGGTATTTGAAGCCATGATACTTGATGAGGTCATTTTGGGAAAGAGAGAGAGAGAGAGAGAGAGAGAGAGGTCCAGCACACAGCCTTGCGATATGGTATCATTTTAATGAGAATAAACAATAAGAGTAAGGAGAAATGGCCACTGAGTCAGGATGACATCCAGGAAAGCCAAGTGAACAAAGTGTTTAAAATAAAGACAGTGGTCAGTTGTAAAGCTAGCTGCTGAGAGGTCCACTAAAGTGAGACTAGAGAAGTGAACTTGGCTGCATGAAGATCATTGGTGACTCTGACAAGTGAGGTGAGAAAGTAGAACCAGCTACTTTGGAAAACTCTTTCAGGATGTTTTTCTGAAAACACAATAATGGGGCAGAAGCTCCAGGGGCATGGTGGAGCCAGGAAAGCTGCCTTTATTTTGGGAAAGAGTCCTCCTCCCTTCTTCCTTATTTCTTCCTCCTCCTCCTTCTTCCTTCTTCCCCCTCTTTCTCCTCTTCCTCCTCCTATCCTCCTCCTCCTCCTCCTCCTCATTTTTCTTCTTGCTAAGAGAGATATGAGAACAAATCACTTTTAAAAAATTAATTTGTTGGGAGTGATAATGACACATTTCAACTGACATGTATGTGTCATGAGATGTAGCTCATGGAAAATTAGGGACTATAAATACTATCATTCCAAGTATTCATTATTTGTACATATCTAATGTTACCTAAGCAGCACACAATAAGGCAACTTTATAATGATGAAAATGAACGACTAATAATTCACTACTGAAAAACAAGACCAGCAGTGATTAAAGTCACCACTAACTCAAGCCAGTGCTGACGATGCCAACATAAACAGTCTCCCCAGTGATTCCAGGACAATTGTCTGTAGTTCCCCTTGCAAAGTTGCCACAATTTGTGACCAGACATTTAGGAAAATACTCAATTATATGCTTTGGTAAACTCTAGTAAGATGATTTAGCTTATGAATAATGACCCTTATTATGAATAATAACCCTTTTCAGAGTTACCAGTAAGTAGTACTTAGATCTGCATAGAATGAACGGCTGTGGAAAGAAATAAACGCCACTGCAAAGAAAGAAGGTACAGCTCACCCATGGGCCAAAGCAATGGGTGAAAGCAGGAGCCCAAAGTCGAAGCCATTCCACTTTGATCACTCTTCACAATTCTAGCAAAGAGAAGTCATGAATGATTAACCTCAGTAAAGTTTTTACATCATCTGTGGATTTTAATGGCTTGGGCCCTTCTGACATTGCTGTACAGTAATTATTGGCCAAACCGTTGCTATTTGCCTGTGAGAATTGGAGTAAGTGATTTTGGTATCACAGGGTAATCCTGCTGTCTTTGCTGCGGTTGTTGTTTCATGGGAGTCTCAAGATAATTATTTGGAGGAAGTTATAATCCATCAAGTTCGCCTCGTTTGTATGAGGCTGCCTTAGCATTTCCAGTTCAGAAAAGGTCAGCGGTTTAAGAATAGTTCACGAAATTGTTAAGCCCTCCTCCTAATCTTCTTCAGGTGTTTGTGAACGGCTTGGTAGTGAAGTAGAAACTTGGTACTCAAAGTCTAACTTTTAGGTCCTCACCAGGAAACTTCTAGAAACAAAGAATATTGCCATCCCCCTCTCTTCACAGGACACCATCTACATTTTAACAATATTGACTGTTAGGCATAGTCAAGTTTGAAAGCAAATAAGGAGTGAATATGAGAGGAGGGGAGGGTGGTGGTGGTGGTCTGGTATAGAGGAGCTTTTGACATTTCGATTTTGTTGTTATTGTCTTTAGAAACAACTACAAAGATTACTCCATGGAGTCTAGACTGCACTTCAGAATTCAGGCAGCTCTTCAACTCTGGAGAAAGCCTTCCTCACACTGATCAGAGCCTGGAAGATGGATGGATTGCCCCTCCGTGAACCCACATCTGCTATAGATTAGCCCTTGTATTAAAGTGGAAAAGTGATCTTGTGAATGAGAGAAAAAAATAATTTTATTGTCAATATTTTCTATCATGTGTGTGGTTTACTGCTGTTCTACGTGAATGTGTCCTCCCCCCTCCCCCCATGGAATAATGTTCAGTACAATCTAGAAAATTATTATATTTTGCCTCTTCAAAAAGAATTTCATATTAGGTTTCAATTGGAGAGGGGAAGTCTTTTAAAGGACTCACAGGTACAATAAAGTCTAATCAGATTATTTATTTTTTTTAATATGGAAATTAATATTGTTTAAGTAGCAAATGGCTTACAAGTTGAGCCTTTTTTAGATCTGTTGGTCAGTTAAACTTCAGAGTTATTTTGTTGCCTAGAAATTAAATTTCAGAGGGGAAATAAAATCACTTACATTCAAAATAGCTTAATAACCTCCTGAAAAAGACAGGCAGTGGTGTGAACAGGGATGGGATCATGTCGTTAAAAGGTTGAAAAGACCTGTATCTAGCAGAGATGGTGAAATATTGTTAGTGTTTTTTTTTATTCATCATGTAAATTAAATGTGGTGGCATTTTTGAGAGACTATCTTGTTTTTGAATGTACTTAAGTCTATTATAATAACAAAAATTTTAAAAATGTGTATCTAAAGGGAAGAAAAATTATATTTTAGACAATATCCTTAGCAATGATAGCCTGAAATATATATATATACATTGATTATTTTTCTTATATGAAGCAAAGTTCCTGCTGCTTTAAATGATATGTAAAATATTAATAATTTTTACATTCATGATGTTGGTGAGTAAGATCTAATTTTCTAATCTCTCTAGCACTGTGTCGGTTCCTTGTAAATATCTGAACTGTGTTTAGTCCTTTCATTTTGGAAATGCAATCGGGACATTGAGTGGGAGAGAGTCCGACTCCATGTGGTCCTGGCTCTGCTACTGGTTAGCAGTTACCAGAGTGACCTTGATGGAGCCCCCGCTCTCTGTAAAATGGAAAAAGAAAGGATGATTATCAAGGTCTCCTTCAGTTTTAGAACTGTCAGTATTTTAGGTATTTATTTTCAGCAAACAATGTTAAAATGTTTAATCCGAGTCACTCCCGCTTAGAGTATATTTTTATTTTGCAGTCATCAACTCCCAACCCCCAAATATGTGTGTTTTGTGAATCAGGACCAGTTTGTATTCTGAGTGAGGAAAACCATCTGGGAATCCGTGAGTCAGGGTTTTGTCCTATTCCTGCCTCTGTTTTGAAGACTAACTTGTCATGGAAGCCGATGCAGTTTAACAGAAACCGCCTCAGATTGGGAGCCAGGAGCTCATCTCTATTAGTTAGTAGTTCCTCACCCTGCAGCAAGCCATTCATCTCTTCTGGGACTCAGTTTCCCTAATGGGGATGGTCTCACGGAGCGTGGTGCTGGTGAGGGCTCAGTCAGGTAATGCAGAGTCATATGCATGGCTTTGTGTGAACTGTGAAAGGCCATATGAACATGCGTTGTAATGATCACGGTTTTTATGCACCAATTATAGTATCAGTACAGAGGTATTGGCTGAGTCTGTGTTCTCTGATGTAAAAGGAGAAAAGCATGGAAATTCTATCACCTGTCAATGTATTCACGTATTTGACGCTGGCCGTGGCCCAGATTACAAATTTATTTCTTGCTACTTATTCCCTGTGACATGAGCCTGTCCTCGCAGGTGTTGGCCTTGTTTTCTTTAAGGTATTTGTCCAATACTGAGAATGCGTTTCAACAGAAGATGTTAATACAGTCCGAGTCAAATGGTCTGGTGGAAGATCTGAATATGTGCTATTACATGCATTATGTAACTGACTGCAGGTCCAGACAAAAGAGGAAATAAAATAAACTGTCATTACAACTAGTAGTGGAAAACATGTTTAATAATTATTTTTTATATAACTGGGGAAAATGTTTATAATTCCTTAGAAGAGCTTTGGTAGCATTATTGTTTTTCAAGTAAAAACATCCACATTATTTCTGTGAGAAGCTGTAAGTCAGTGAAAGTCAGTAATAAAAATTCTCCTTTTGGTATAAAAGGAAAACAAAAGCCAATAGTAGTTCTTTTTATTTTATTGGAACTCTGCATTATAAAGAATATAAAAGTAATTCATATCTATTTAAAATTTCACTTAGTTATTTTTTAAATTTTATTTTTATTGTTACTTCCTATTTTTATGGTTAATCTATCCAATGGATTTTTTTTAAAAATATATTTCATTGATTTTTTGCAGAGAGGAAGGGAGAGGGATAGAGAGTTAGAAACATCAATGAGAGAGAAACATCGATCAGCTGCCTCCTGCACACTCTCTACTGGGGATGTGCCCGCAACCAAGGTACATGCCCTTGACCGGAATCGAACCTGGGACCCTTGAGTCCGCAGGCCGACGCGCTATCCACTGAGCCAAACCGGTTAGGGCTCTAATGGATTCTTAAGTGCTGTAATATCACTAATGGTACAAATACTAATCTGTTTCCTGCCATGTTTAAGATATTATGACACCAGTGTCTTGTGCCATCAGCTCATATTGCATTTTTGGAGTTAGTTTGTGATTCAGGGTGTTCTCTATAGGATGAGTACTGAAGTGACAATGTTTTTTATGTAATGTTTTGAGGGGCATATGTGGGAGAGTTGGGCTGCCAACGTGTCTGACAGTTTGTGCAATTTGTGTAGTTCTTGGTTTAATTGCCTTTCTTTTAAAAAAAAAAGGGAGAACCAGAGTTCTGATTGGTGCTGTGTAATTTTAAGACTCAAGTAGAGGTTATGCTTTGTAGGATGGTGACAATGTAGGCATGACGTCCGCTTGACAACTAACAGAAGATTAACTGCATAAGCTCTTTTATGGACATTTTAATGTTTCTGTGCTTCTCCTGGGTACAAGAAGGCCCAAGTTACATAGGAAAAGAGAGTCCATTGATTTTCTATCTCTTGGCAAGTGGGTCCAAACTGTAACAAGGTGAATTCCAGATCAATCAGCGTCCAAGATACTGAGTCACTGAAACAATCCAACAGCAGAACTATCTCTTTGGCAAAGTTGTCGTCTAGCAGAGCTCTGTGATTAACATTCCAACCTGGCCTGGAAGCTAATGGTTTAACTTTGAGGTTAAAACACCCCGTCAGCCTTTGAGTAGGGCTTTAAGTCGGTGGGATGTGTTAAAGATGAAAGTTGTTCCCTTTCAAAGACAAGTGTTTCCTCTTTTGAAGCTATGTTTAAAGGTAGTTACATTTTGATGTGCACCAATCGCCTCTGCTATTAATACTCATTATGGTTCTAGTTCTCACCCATTTCTTTAAACGAGTCTGTTGATGTTTTCAAATAGATGCTTTCCTGCTTTTGCACATTAGACATAACGATTAAAAAAAAGTCTTTGTGACCAACTGGAATTACTCAATTCTCTGTTGACTTTAAAAAATATTTTTGTTTCTTCCTGTTCTCTAAGTATTTATAAATTAAAAATTCAAATACATTCAGTGAAAATGAGTTAACGAAGACTCCAGTGATCATTTTGATGCCGAAGATTTGGGGATTCATCAGGCCTGAAGTGGATCTTGGAAAATTGTCTCATCCTTCCTGATCTCTGAGCAGTGTTGTTTCTCCTTCAGTCCTGCCCTGCACAGTATGGTAGCTACTGGCCACCTGTGGCGGTTGAGCACTTGAAACATGGCTGGTGACATATGTTGGAAGGATGCTGACTGTGGGGAGCGCTGACACATGCTGCAGTTCTATTTAGTGGTCTCCTAATACTGGACTGCCCGGAGTTCTGGCTTTTTAATATGTTCATCCCGTCACCATGTTGTCGATTGTGGTTCAAATATATGTTGGTGGGGTTTACCTTTTCTGCTTTAGTACCCATAAACTTTCATCCTGTTCTGCAGATGATCAAGGTCACTGGCACATTTGAACATGATTCCTTTCCTACCTACCGGAGCTCCTTACATACTAAATTAAGAGAATTGATTTTTTTTAAGATTTCTATTTTAATCTGATTTTCCCTACTTTTTCAGATGCAACATCACAAACTGTTAGCGTTGTAGAGGAAGTGACTCTCAACTTTGGGACTTAGTAGACTTTATGATTAAAATAATACTTTTATAAGTTTAACATTATTCTGAAAATTTTCAATCCCTGAACCTTTCATTCCTTTATATTATCAATGTTTCAACATTAACTCAGCTAGGCCAATTATTACTATTTAAAGATTTTAAGGTACTAGTTATCCACTTACAGAATAATTTTTAGGTACTAGTTATCCACTTACGGAATAATTTGGCAGGTAGTTTATTTAAAGTCACATATTTTATGCCTTTGCTGCCTATTATTATTCCTAATATGTATGATACCTAAGTAAAATGCATACATATAATTGACATATCTTAATCTTGTTAGACATTTCTATCTCAAATGCACAGGTAGATAGATAGATGATAGATAGATAGATAGATAGACAGACAGAAAACACCATACAAATATTAAACAAGCTTTACACTCTTCTCTCAGGGATGCGGGATTTCCTCCAGGTTGTTTCCCCTTCCCAGACCAATTATTTACATATTTTTTCTTTATTTGTCAAGCACTTATTGTGAAACCCTATTCCTGCTTCTCATTGTTGCTAGTTTTCTCCTTTGTACACCTTCTGTTAGCTTGAGTTACTTCAGAAAGTTGAACTTGAAACGTAATAAAAAGGACACATCGACAGTTACCAGGAGGGAGATTGTCTTTTGTGTTGAGCAGTTGTTGTCTGACCTGGCTGGTGCTCAAGGCCACACCAGTCTGTTCATAATGTCAGAGCTGCAGGAAGAAATGATGCAAGGACGGAGAAGACTGAGCAGGTACATGGCCTGATCCATCCGAAGGGAGAGGTAGACCTAGTGTCAGAGGAAGTCCAACCCCATTCTGCCCAGTTCATAAATGTGTAGCAATCCCCTAACTCGGCATTGCATGGAAAAGTCAAAGCAGGCACCCCACTGTAGTTCACTAACGAAGAAGTCACACAGACACCTATAGATTGGACAGTTACCAGGAAAACTCAAGAGACTTGAGTACCAAACTTCATTAAATAAGACTTGTTGCATATTAATATACCTTGTATATTAACCCAGTAGTTCTTAGAAACACATAATTTAAAAGATAAATATAAGGGATGCTGACGCATGCAGGCAGGGACTTTTCATTTTATTGTTAGTTGATATTTTCTAGCATATTGGTTTTAATTATTGGTAGTCTGGTACCATGTAGGGAGAAAAAGTTGGTCTCAGTGTAACAGAACCGATAGCCAGAGAAGTTGGATACAATGAACATGTTAAAGGACATCTCTTACTTCAGTTTTAAAGGAATTGCGTTAATGTGAAAGGCTGGAAGGTCTTTTTCAATCAGAAGGGATGCCTCTCCCTGCTTTGGAAATCATGTAGACATTTTTAAAAATAGAGTTTATTGGGATGACATTGGTTGGTAAAATTATATAGCTTGGAAGTATACAATTCTATAATACATCATCTGTACATT